GCTAGTAATTCGACTGAATGAAATCATGAGATTTTGTTGTTATTCCTACAGAACAAGTCATGTTCCTATTGGTGACGATCAACTACAGCACTTGGAGTTAGCACGAGAACTGGCTCGTATATTTAACAATTACCATGGAAACTATTTTACACCACCTAAGCACTTATTAGGTAAATCCAACTTTGCTTTTATTGTTTGGTAATGTCAGGTGATCAGTTGTCATAGAAACTGCTGCAGGTTGCATGTTTTGAGTGATAAATTCGAAAGGTTGGTCGGGAAAAATGCAAAATTACAAATGTTCTTTAAAAAATTTAAAAACAAAATCAGTGYAAAAAAAAGGTGTAGAAGGGACAAGTACATGCAAACTTAAGAAAAAAGATTCATTCATATGATAGACGCAGAAAAATATGCGAGTTTTCAATTTTTTCAATGAAAGGCCAAGCCCTTAGTTGAGGGCACGCTGARAAAATCGGACAACAGTTAGCGGGCTCAAGGCAGAGAAGTTCTGTACACAAAGGCAATCAGGCCATGTAGAACAGAACTGTCAGTTCTGTAGACAGCCGAAATATGCTTTTGTGTTTACTAGAACTACACTTAACAAAGGTTTTTTTATTCCAAYAGCTGAGTTCACTCGAGTTATGAGTCTYCGTGATCCAACCAAAAAAATGAGTAAATCGGATCCGAACCCWCTCTCTCGCATTGGACTGACGGACCCTCCGGACCTTATTGCTACAAAGATAAGAAAGTCAGTCACAGATTCCAGTAATCATATCAGTTATGATTCTCAGGAAAGACCTGGTGTTAGTAACCTCATCGATATTTATTGCGCCTTCAGTGGAARGAGCATCGAAGACGTTTGTTCTCATTATCAAAATATAGAACGATTCAAAGCACAGTTCAAGCAAGATCTTATTGATTTACTAATAGACAAACTCAATCCAATTCGTCAAGATATCGAAAGATTGCAAAATGAAAGAACTTATGTTGATAATATTTTAAAAGATGGCGCTGAAAGAGCGAAGGAGATAGCTGAAAGAACTCTTAGACAAGTGAAAGCGTTAGTAGGTTTTGGGTAGAATCAGCTAACCACGCTCATCAGGATAATATCTAGAGATTCCATCTAACCAAATTTATGAAAAATCGCTTAAARTAAGTATCAAAACGAATCTCGAAAATGTGCTTTTTAGCGGATTATTCAGCGGTTTATTGAATTAAGATAGGGGCATGCGCAACTTTTCTGGTATTGTAATAAATGTTCGAAGACTTAACTACATAATTTAGTTCTGGAAACTTTCATTTCACCGTGATTAAACTTGGTGAGACGAYATAACCTTTTAAAGGCCATACATTCGATGTAAAACTATCATACATTAACAACAGGTCACGCAGTAAGCAATCAGA